CGACGCACCTGTGCATCGACTCCGAGGGCTCCACCGACCCGCTCATGCCATTGGCCGTCGACCGCTTTGGCGACGCGTTTGCCGAGTATGGTTCTCATAGCATTGGCTCGCTTCTACTCGTCTTGCCCAGTGCGTACAGCGGCGCGAGCTCACGATCGCGTTCGACGGCCGTACGACAACTGTGCTGTTGACGCCGCGCGAGCCACGTACGCGGACGATGATGTCGGCGCGCATCACGTCGGGCTGCCGCGTCACGCTCGTCCACCGATCGTTCGGCATGGACCTCGACGACGTCGGCACGTTGATCCAGCCCGTGACGCGCTTGCAGAGCATTGCAGCATTCAAGGAGATCGCAGCCGCTCTACGAGCGCATCGCTCGACCTGTACAGATCTCGTCGCTCGTATTCGAGGCTTTGGCGCCGGCAGAGGCTGCGTTCGTCGACGTCCTTGTCGCGACAGAGGACTATGACGTGGCGCTCGTCACGTTTAAAGAAGAAGTCTACGACCACCGCAACGTTGTGGCTGCGTGCGTCATGCATCCATCGTGCGAGGTTCCGCGTGACGTGGCCGCGCGCGCCGCACGCCATTTTTTTGGCCCAAGGCGGGGTTGTCGGCATCGACGTGGCGCTTCCGCTTCTCGCCAACGCGATGCTCGACGCCCACGCGCCTCGGCCTTCCCAGTGCGTCCGACCTCGCCCGTGGTACCATGTGTACCAGAGCATGTCCAAAGTCTATCTGGTCCAAGAGACGCGCGAAGTCAATGACGAAATCAGCCATCTTCCCCTCGACCACGAGACCTTGCGTTGGTCGCGAGTCGTGACGTGGCGCTCGCAGATCTCTTCCTCGGCGACGCGCTCTCTGCATATCTTCCGCTCGAGACGGCCGCGCGCATGGTCCAAAAATGCTTGACCGCGTTCGGCTAGCCAGCGCTAGCGTCCGCCATGCGCCGGCTACTGCAGCGCTGGGCCAAGCGAAGCATGCGCTGGACGGCCTCGCTCTTGGTGAGCCTCGCTGGGGCGGTCGGCGCGGGCGTGTGCGCCGTTTGCTTGCGAGTTTATCAAGCTGTGCTGGCACGTGGTCTTGGCCCACGAGCACGGATGACCCATGAGCTCGATCGACGAGAACATTCTGGTCATCGAGTGGTACCTTGACGACGTCGCGTCGCTCGACGCGGACAACCAGTATCTCGGCCACCGACTGCCGCCGGCGCTTATCTCAGTCGTCGACAGTTTTCTCTACCACCGCTGCCGAGGCTCGTACACGCTGCACACCGATCTCGATTGGCAGCTCGAACACGTCCCGCTGCTCCTGCTCCAGGCGCTTGAGGTGCAGCCTGGAATGACCCAACGACCGTACCTGGATGCCATCGTATACCTCATCGACCGGTACGACCTGGACGACCTCGTTGAGTGGGACAGTGCGACGGGCGGCTACAGTCTCCTCATGAACCGCCTTGGCCGCTGCGACGAGACCTTCTTGGCCAAGATGCGGATTTTGAGTTCGTACCGCGCCATCATGACCATCTCGCGGCTCGTCACAGAGGCGCCGGTCGCGCCAGTAACGGCCGAGATCCTAACAACCTTTCTGGTCGATGACGCGACCACCATCATGGACGAAACGTTCGAGAACGACGTCACCTCGACCAAGCGCAGGACGTTACGTGCGTCGCGACGCTCGACACATTGCTCGTAGCGTTGACGACGAATGAACTTGGCGACTTGAGTACGTCCCGACCCCACAAGCGCCGCCGCAGCGACGAAGCATAGCTAATACAGTCCCTTGCTAAACCATTCGCTCCTCTGACACATTGATACTTGGTTGCAGACAATTGTGTACTCACTTTAAAATAAACTACGCGTCCGAGGTTTCTTCGCCCATGTCGTCTTGCTCGCTCGCAGGCGCCCGTGACGAGCGGCGAGGTGGCGACTCTCGCCCGTCGCTCGTTCGAGAGGATCGCCCTTCATCCTGGCGCCGCGGTGGGCTGGACGCACTCTCCTTCTCGTCGCTGCTTCGCACCATCTCGGGCTTGGTGCTCTCGTCGTCTGATTTGCGGCCCGTGGGTTTGAGGAGCTGGGTGAGCATATACGACACAAAATGGGTCTCGTCAATGATGTTGTGGTCGTTTGCGAGGCTGTCGTAAATCGCAATCGCCTTGCGTCGCACGGCGTTGGTGTGGCGCATGTCGGCCATGGCCGTCGCCGACGCGCCGTCGCGCTGCGTGCCGCGGCGAGCGTCCTACGCGCAAAAGTATCAATCTATCAGCCTAGAATCAACCGAGTTTGCACTTCGAGTTTGGTCGTGTCGAGCATTTTCGCACAAACGAGGAAGGCAAAGAACTCTTCAAAGTCCATGGTCCCGTCGCCGTTCTTGTCGGCATCTTTAAACTTGAGCCGGAGCTCCACGACGAGCCGCTCGAGGGCCTCGGCCCACGCGTCCATGAGCTGCATCAAAAAGTCTTCCATCGGCAAGGCAGGTGTCCCCGCACAGCGGACGTCGTCGATCGCGGCAAGCACCGCACTGTCCTTCTCCATCACCTCGTTGAAGGCGATTTTGCACACTTCGAGCGCTTTTGGTACGGGAATCATGCGTTTTTTGTCCCGGAACGTGCCGGTCGGCGCCTCTTTGCCACTCATCAAATCTTTACTCGAGTAGCCGTCTCCGATGAGGTCGTTCCACGCGTACATGAGCGACTCGAGCGTTGTGATGGGCGTCGACTCGATCTGGTTCATGCTCGCGCTCTTGACCTTGGTCATGGTGAAAATGACGTGCTTGATGAGCGACTTGAAAAACGCAAATCCGAGCTCTGCGCTCATGGCGCGCGCGTCGTCGAGGCCGAGAAACCAGTAAAAGAGACCGACGCGCGGGTTTTCCTGCATAGAAATGTGGTTAAGGGACGTGGAAATCGATGCAAAGAGGACCTTGCAGTGCACTTGGAGCGCGGTTCGAAACGAAGCAATGTGCGAGAGCGCGAGCGACTTGAGGCCGTAGACCCGGATAAAGTACTGCCGCGTAAAGACCTTGAGCGGCTGCAGCTGGAGCGACTTGTCGTTGGCGTCTTGCATGAGTTTTTCGCACACCAAGGCCGAGATGGTCGTGCACACGTCGTAGAGCGGCATCGTTCGCGACTTGAGGCGCGAGAGGACCGTGCTCCGCCGCTTCTTGGCTTTCCGGCGCGTTTTTTTGGCTGGTTTGAGCTCGTCCAAGTCGTCTTCATCTTCGTCGTCGTCGTCGTCATCGCCCGTGGGGCCGTTGTTGCCGTCATCAAACGTGTCGTCGTCGAGGCCCTCGAGAAGCGACGACGGGTCCCCGCCTTCGAGCGTGATGAGGAATTCCAGCAGCTTGGCCACATCGGTGCGAATCTGGACATGGCGCGGAATGATCTCCACCAACGACGTCTCGCCGACGTCGTGGCGCAGCGCTGTGAGACGGGCCATGAACGACTCGACGTGCACGAGAATGAACGCTTCCAATGCCGTCAGTCTACACAAAACACATGATTTTGGAAACATCTGTTTGCGGTCTACGTGGCGCCTTCGGCCAATGGTGGCACAGTCTTGTCGTGGAGAAGCAGATGTTTTTGCAGCGCGAGGACAAACTCGGACAAGAGCGCGGTCGACGTCTTCTTGGTCAAGCGCATGGTGGCGTCGCGGAGGTATTGGTTGTGCTGGTTGATTTCGTTGGCCTAGTGATATGTCTAAAAACACCCACATCGGCACTGCTCGCGTACGATAAAGTTGTAGAGTTCGTCGGCCGACATGCCTTTCTGGTACGCATGGTAGAACGTCTGACGCTGGTCTACGCAGATGTGATCTCCTCTTTGTCGGCTTCGAAATAAGCGACGCACCTGGTTCCAACTCGTCGACGAGGTGGGCCAGCGTTTGGGTCAGCGACGGCATGTTGGGGTCTTGAAACAGTCGGTGGAGCATGGACGAGAGCGCTTCGGGGGACATGAGACTAAAGTAGGCGCAGATCTCCGTCTCGGTCGGTAATCTCTGGTGCAGCAGGTTTAGCGCTGACACCATGAGATAAGATACCTCGTCGGGTCGATGCTCGGCCACCGTCGACACGGTTGCTTGAGGCGTGACGAGGTTCGTCTTGAAGAGGTTCATGCTCGTTTTGAAGCGGCCGACGACTTGGTGGGACATGCTGCGCTTCTGTTTAAATTGATAGTCGCCCAGTTGGTCGCTGAGTTCGGCGATGCGTTCGTGAAGCCTCTCAACTTCGCGTATCTTGGCTTGAACGAGCTAGGCGTATACATCAGACATAGTGTGCACATTCCATGTCCTACGTCGTGCTGCAGCGTCGCCTGTTGGTAGTAAAACAGAAAGGGGTTTTCATCAATCGCGTCTTGCGCATCGTTAAAGTCGGCGGCATTGGCATATATGGCCGGCGCGAGATCTCTATACCAAAAACGGTGAATGCAAAAGTCGAATTTTCACAATGCAATCGTACTCGAGACACTGCGCGAGGAAGCGCGGGGGAATCGGGGCGTGGCGAGCGGCTAGCGACGTGAGCGCCGTATAGGCGACAGCGATGCGGAGTCGCTGCGGCGCCGGCCAGCTCTCCGTGAGGCGCCGCGCTTGCGACGCTTTGAGATCGAAAAAGTTAGTCGGCGACAAAAAGTCGCGTTCTTCGCGGGGAAATTCGTCGAGCCAGTTCATGATCGCGGCGTGGCCCCGCGTGTCGACGGTGGACCCAACGTCGTGGACCAGAGGTGCCTTGACAAATGGAGCGATTGGCGCCGGGCCTTGCTGGGACGCCACGTACGGCCTGCGCGTCGTCGGGCGAACGTCGGCTACGTCACATTGTACACAGTCCATACAACAAGCAGTTGTACGTGGCGCCTCCTGGTGCAGCAGCTCCTTGCGCTTTTGGAGCTTGGCGAAAAAGTGAGCTTTCGTGGTGGCCGGTTGTTTCCTAAGAAACACCTTGTTGACGCAAAGTGTGGACAAGTTGTCGTACGAGGTTTTTTGGCGCGTGGAGCCGGCCGATGCAATGACGCGGCGCGGACGCGGTGTCATGACGTCAGCGGTCTTGGTGAGGCTTGGCCCGCGCTCGTCCGACTCCTAATATCGTCCATTCTAGCTTGGGAAGGAGTCAAAGAAGGTACTTTGACGAGCGATAGCGTCCTTGCTGCCAGGCGCGACGTCGAGAGCTCGGACTGCGCCTTATGCGGCGCCTCCATGGCAGGCTTTTTACGCCGTTTCGTACAAGTGCCCCGGGGCACGCGCAGTTCCTCTTCACCCAAGGAGCGCTTCAAATAGATGGGTCAACTAGACGACGCCGAAAGCGAAGTCGAAAAGCGAGGTCCCTTTGGCAAGTCCATGATCTCCCGCGATACCACGTTGGCACTCCACTCGCCGGGCATCAGGACCAGCGCAGGTTGAGCAGTCCTGTTCCGTGCCCCGGTCAATGCACACCGGCGCAAGGTGCCATATGCATCCTGCTACACTTGTAACATCCATGTCGACAAGCCCGCGTTTCAACCCAGTACTGTTGTCTACCTCGACAAACTCGTCACAATTTTGAGACCAAAATAATTGTGCCCCGGGGTCCAAACGTGAAACGACACCACCGTAGCGATGGCCAAGGCCAACTCGTGCCTTGACATGATGATGCGGCTGCGCGTCGAGGACCTGAGCGAGCTCAAGGAAGCCTTTGACGCGCACGAGGGCGGCGTCGACCTTGGCAGCTTTGTCAGCATCCTCCTCGAGAAGCTCGAGTGGAGCGAAGCCACGGTGGTGTCTTTGGTGTACGAGCTCATCGAGCTCTTCCGCGAGATTGCGATTCTTCGCCACGGCAAAATGCTCTGGGACGACTTTACGAGCGCGCTCATTGACGTCGGCATGCGCGCGTCCGTCGACGAGCTTGCGTGGCGCGACTGGCGCTACGAAGAAAACACGTTGTATCTGGACGAGCTCAGCCGCCAGCCGCGCAACGTGCAGTACATCCCCGAGCTCAAGCGCATCTTTGCCTTTGACAGCACGCGCCCCGTGATCCAGGTACTTGACAACTGCTTAGTCGATGCTTAGTCGACTAGGTGTTTGATCCATCGGCGATTCTGGCCATCGAAAGCGGCGCGGCCGAGCACGAGCCGACTCGAGCGTCAAGTGACCCGACGACGCCAATGTTCGCATTGCCCCTCTTGCACGAAGTGCACCCGCTCTGCTACCAGCACGGCTACCGCAAAGACCAAGACCAAGTGCGCTCCGAGCGGAGCCCCGTGCAGGTCCTCGCATGTCCTCGATCTCTCAGACAATCGATACTCGGTAGCGTAGGTCATCAAGTACCTCGGCAGCTTGGACATACTCGTGATCGCAGCCGGCGATTTGAAACTCACGTTTTGGCAGCCCAACGCGCTCTTTACGACCGAGTCGCCGGCGCCCGTGTACGTTGCGAGCACCGAGCACCCGCAGCGGGTCCTCGAGTGGGCGCCGACAGCGTCCCGCCTCTTTTCGCTCGCCACCGACGATGCGATTCTCGTCTGGCGCGTACGACGTGCTAGCTTCCTTGATACCTTGATAATCTGGGATCTTATAGGTGATTGCCAAGACGAAAAAATCGTGCAGCGCCGTGTGCACGAACGTTCTGCGCTCGCACAAGGACATGGTGCAAGATCTCCTGCTCGTCAACGACGAGACGCTCGTGTCCTGCGGCATGGACTCGCTCATCAAGATTTGGGACCCGTCGAGCTTGGAGTGCAAGAGCACGCGGCGCGGCCATAAGCGCGGCGTCCGAAAGCTCGTCAAGCACTCGGACACGGTGTTTGTGAGCACGGGTAGTGCTCCACTGTTTTTTGTTTTGGGTTTTTGAGATTGAGTTTGGATCATGTGAATAGGGTTTGAGCGGGACATGCTTGGATGGGACGTCTCGGGGCTGAGCATCGCGCCCATCTTTCGGCTCTCGGGCCATGCGTCGCCAATCATATGCATTGAGATGATCCCGCACCTCGGACAAGCCATCAGCCTCGACGACGAAGGTTTTCCAACTGGCTGCTTCCTCTTGATACTTTGATATTTTAGGCTATTTCAAGTGGTGGAACATGACCAACCTCGTGTCCATGGACGACAACGACCGGTGTCTCCAGACTTTCCGCTTTGGCAACGACCAGTACGTCGATCTATCTGTCTATTCGATCTATCCATCCATCTATCCATCTATCTATTCGATCTAAGACGGTGGCTAGGTACCCGTGGAAGCCCAACGCCTTTACGCTGTTTACGAACGGCGCGACGATCCTCGCGTCCGGATTTCATTTGAAGTGGATTCAGCGTGTCCGGCTCAAGCCCAAGCACTATGCATCCAGCGCCGTCCTTCTGAACTCGACCACGCTGACGCTCCTCACAACGACCGACCGCGGTTCATTTTCTAGTGTTTCCTTTTGGTCTACTTGAACCTAACGATTGTAGACGTTCACATTTGGGATGCGCACAAGGGCACGCTGCTGCACGTCTTTCGCGGGCTCTGTCGCAGCGACATTACGCGCGTGGTGCTCGACGCCCGCGAGCGCAAGTTTGTGCTCTCGACACTAGGCGGCGATGTGCTCGTCTTCAACTACCTCAACGGTGCGCTCCTCAAGAGCTTCCCGCGGCACTTGGGCCAGGTCTCGAGCATGCTCTACTGCAAAGAAGACGAGGTCGTGCTCACAGCGTCCTGGGACCGCGCCCTTCGTCTCTATGACGACGACTCGAGCAAGCCGCTCCTGCGCTCCATCGCACATGCTCACCGCGCCGATATCAAGTGCATGGCGTACTCGTACCACCTCGGCCTTGTCGCCACGGGCAGCGCCGATGGCACGCTCAAAATCTGGGACTACGTCTACTTTTTGCTGGAGCAAGCGTACGCCGAGCACAGCGTCGAGGTCAACGCGGTGGCCTTTCTCGATCCGCACCCGATCGTGCTCAGCGGCTACGACAATGGCATGCTCGTGCTCCACTCGGTGCGGCCGACAGCTCACCCCACGCGTCTCTGCCAGTTCTCCATTGACGCGTTGAGGTACAAAGATGTCATTTGGTTGGATGACGACGACGACGACTTGCGGACTGTAGTCCGACAGCCTCTGTCGCAACGTTGGAGACGCTGTACGACCCGTTTGGCGGCGAGACGGTCGCCGAAGGCATTACGAGCGGCCGGCAGCTAGTCTACGTTGGCGACTACAGCGGCATGCTTCGCTGCTGGGACCTCTACCCGGTGCGTATACTCTTTATCCTATATTTGTTTTATTGGATTTGATTTTCTTCTGTAGGTGCTGCGGCAGTACCAAATTGCTGCAGCTGACGAGTCCCTCTTGCCGCATACGTCCAAGTCGTACAACCCACGGCGCCGCATCGAGCGGGACGGCGATGGCAGTACGGAGCACCTCGCTACAAGCTCTCGAAATACCACTGTCGCTGTAGCGGCCTCGACAATCGATCGAACAACGTCGGCGCCAATCGTGCCGGCGCCGCCCGTGACGAGTGCGTGGCAAGCGCACACACTGGCCATCAAGTGCGTCACGCTCGTCGAGTCGCCCGTCGCTTGTATCTTGAGCTGCGCAGTCGACAAGACGACCAAAGTGTGGAGCTTGGACGGAACACTGCTCGGTGTCCTCGGCAGCGCAAATTGGGATCTCGTCCTCAACACGACCGAGGTCGCAGCGCAAAAATGGGCCCACGCCACCGCACTCTGGGACGATCTCAAAGCTGTACTTTCCATTTTCGTATACACCTAACCCTACGTGGATATCGGGGGTAGGGCAAAATCGATTTGGCAAGCGGGCGTCGTGCTCGGTGCGTCTACTGCGATCTCGTACAATACCGACAAAGATCTTATAGTTTCCATAGGCATAGTACGCTGGGGCGGGTGCAGAGCTTGCCGTCGTTTACTCCGCCATCGCCGCTGGACCTATGCGAGCCCGAGGGGCTGGCCCCCGCGTCTCTGGCGTCGTCCAACAACGAGAAGGACCGTCTCTTTGGCCAACTGCACGGCGACAGCACGTGGAAGAAGTCGGACATTCAAATCGCTCGGGTCTTATTTACGGAAGAGATATTTTCTATAACTTTGGCAACTAGGAAACGGCATGGGAAGCCGAAGCTGTCAAGTACAAGGCGCGCATGGACCGTATTTTCAAGCAGCAACCTGCGGCCACCACCAAACCCGATCGGTCCGACATTCACACGCCCGTGGGACCGCCGATCCTCGAGGTATCGTCTATCAAGCGAAAGGAAGTAGACTCGCATTGGGTAGTCGTTGGCGTCCGACCATCGCGAGACGCTTTCGTCGCTCTCGACGACGCTGCCTCGCCTCTCGTCCAACCAGCTGTCTCAAATGAGCTTTGACGACAAGGACAACTGGAGCGTCAACAGTCGCAACCGCCAAAAACTCATTTACCGGCATTTGTTTTCGGAAAACAGCCGAAATTTGCGGTGCGAAAACACTTGATTCTTCCACTACATTAGCACTCTAGTAACCCAACGGCCAAGAAGCAGCCAAAGTTGCTCCTCGAAACCATCGACACGGCGCCGTCCGCCTTCGTGCTCCAGCATCTCGGCCCTGACATTCCTCGCAAGCCGACGCCCAAGCCCCGCCGGCTCAACGTGCCGACCCTCGCCGCCTCGGCGTCTGCGCCTACTCGTACGTCTCTCAGCAGTGACCGAATGAACGCACAACACTACTGACTAGTGTCCAAAGTTCTCAAGCCGCGTCGGGCGTCGTCGCACCGGCTCGAAAAAATGGCGGCCAGTGCACCGAGTCTCGACAGTATCATTCACGACCGCCCCTCCTCGACAGCCGCCAAAACGAACCCGGTGGTGGGAAGTCCCGAGAAGACTCTCGCTCGCTTCGAAGCTATGATCGCCGACCGGCCGCCCGAGACACGACCCATGACATCCCCGAAAAAGCCAGAGGCGAGTCCCCCCCGACAACGCGCTGGTAGCGTCACCCATGTCGTGCTGCCTCCTGTCGCCACGAGCACCACCACCAACAACAACAGTCCGCCCAAGCCACAGAAATCGCACAAGTCGGTCGCTGTCAAAGACTTAGTCGACGCCGATCGTCGCATCTTGCACCAGCCGCTCTTTGGCCCGTACCCGCGCGACCACGTACTCGAAGTGTGCCGAATCTTCGTCCGCATCGATGTCGACAACAGCGGCGTCATTGAGACCAGCGAGTTTGTGGAAAAGTTGTCGCAACTCGAAGGCGACGACTGGCGCGACGCCCTCAATACGTACGCCCCGATGCGTTGGACCACAAAAGTTGACTTAGGGATAGGGTCTTCTGCGATCTCGACAAGGACCACAACGGCATGCTGGACATGCCCGAGCTCCTCAAGGTTTTATGGTCGATCGACAATAAGACACTATGACGCTGTCTAGGCCATGTTCCCGAAAGCGACGAACCGCGTCCAGGACGAGATGCTCCAGTTCGCGCGGGTCGCGGTGGCGGCCGAGCGCCATGAAAAAGCCAAGCTCCGCGAACTGAGCCCCAAGGCGCTGGCCGATATCACGGCCCTCTTCCACCTCTTTGACATTGACAACAGCGGCGCGATCGAGCCGATGGAGCTCCTCCGCGAGTTCAAAGCCAACGAGCGCCGTTTCTACGACAAGCACCCGGAGCGCAGCATCGCGGATCGGTGGCAGCTGGCCGACATTGTCAAGATCTTTCAGCAGTACGACTCGAACGCAAACGCGAGCTTGGAACTCGACGAATTCATTGAGCTCTTCCGCGATAGTTTCTAGTCGACGTGTACACTATTGTCTTTCGAAACATGGACGCATTGCATCCGAGTATCCTCTCATTCAAATAGCATCGAGCGTAGCCTCTTCGTCGTCACTCTTGACCGCCAATCGGGTATAGGGTACGCTTTGGCGGCGACGCCACAGCACGTAGCCACCAACCACCGCAAGCGCCGCCACAGCCGCGCCAGCCACAAGACGCAGCGACACTTCGTGGTCGCTCTCCATGGAGACGGAGGGCTTGCGCATCATGTCGTAGCCGGGTACGAAGGCTTGGAGCCGCTCGGGGTGGGTGTACGGAACCCAGTGGCGCTGGTCGCACGGCCAGTGGTCCTTGGCGACATCCGTGGTCGAGATGCCCGCAAACGCGAGGTAGGCGTCGACAGACCGAGCCGTGTCCTTTGGATAGTACCTCTCAAGATCCGTCTCGTCGGCCTCGCCGAGGACGGGCAGGTGCAGCTGCTGGCGCATGCGGTTGATCGACAAGTCGCGCTCTCGATCGCGCGCGTCGCCCCCGTTGTCATCAAATCTACCAACTTTCTCTGACGATTTTGAACAGAGCCAACGAACGTACGAGCCGTTGTTGCCGCGCCGCGACTCGTCATGGAAGACCACGTGGCCCTGCCGCGACGGCGAGTAGATATCATAGCCGTGCGTCCAAAGCTGCATCGAGCGCAAAAGCTCTTCGCCCAGAAAGACAAAGCGCAGACGCGCGTCCAGCGGCACCCTAGTCTGTGCATGGCACTTGCTAAACTGAAAGCCCGCGCCGATGAACGCCCCGAGCTGCGGCAAACTCGAGTTGTCAAGCAAAATCGCGCCAAAGTCGGGAATTGTCGACAGCGTCGCGTGGGCAAAGTAGCAAATGTGACGCGTCTGCGTCACTGGCGGCGTCAGCTGCGGCCCAATCGACTCAAAGCCGAGTGGGTACACGGAGAGGACCGCCATCTCGTTCTCGGTGCGCGCCCAGTCGGCCAAAAGCGCGTCGTCCCAGTGCGAAACAAACTGCATGTGCGCGTCGGTCACCAGGCAAAAGGTCTCGTCGCGGATGAGCGCGTGGAGGCGCACGCGCGCCGCGATCGGACCTGTCGACGCCGCCGCGTCACGCGCATCAACGCGGATGGCCTCGCGGTACCGGCACGTCGTGTCGTTGGGCCAGTGCGCGGCGGCGAGGCGGCAGTAGGCGTCGACGCACGCGACGTCACCGGCGCGCGTTTGGTCGACAACGCCAAGCACAAGGGATTCGGGGTGCGACGCGCGCGAGAGGGCGGTGAAGAGCGTGTAGCCGCAGCGGTTGCCGTCGCGGTACGAGGGCAGGCCGAGAAATGTCTTGAAGTTGGTAGGGACGATGGGGCGTGGCGGGCGCAGCGCTGTCTGCGTATCGTTCAACGGAATGTGCTGCGACGCCGGGTCGAGCGTGTAGCGCTCACCATAGACAAAGCCGCCGCTCGAGACGTCGCGGTCCCACACAAACGACGACGGCATGCTGTCGGGCGTCGATACAGCTTTGGAAATGACAGCAATTTGCGACCGGCGCAAAACCCTAACCCTCGAAAACACCGCCTGGTGGCGCTGAGTGTCCGGGCAAGCTCGGCAAGTCCATCCAGCGCCGCAGCTGGCAGAGCATCGAGCTTTCCTGCAGCTCGACCGTGGGCGTCTCTACACCGCACACGCCACGTCACAACGCAGCATGTTTTTGTTACCAGCACGTTTGCCCGCCCAAGCAGGTACTAGTCAGGGTACTAGTACGGTACTAGTAGCCCGAGAGACTGTCGGAGCACAGGTGCCATTGTGTACACAGTTCAAGCTACATGGACACTACGCAGCACGCACGGCCGTCTCGGCACGAGCCTATGCCAACATGAGTCGACTAGCACACACAGGGTTGCATGACGCACATCGGCGTGCGGCAAATGCTGCGCGAGCGTCTTCTGGATCTCGGTCGCGGACGGCCGGGCGCTCGGGTCGAGATGCAGACACGCTTGGGCGAGGGATCGGTACCAACTCGGACACGAAGCGCTCAGCGTCGGCACAATGTCGCCACTGCGAATGGCATCTGTGAGCTGAAAGCCGTGCAGCGGTGCGTCAAAGTACGGCTTTTGACGCGTGTCGAGCTCGGTTAGAATGACGCCAAACGAAAATACGTCGGCCGAGTACGCGTAGCGCCCGCCGTTGAACACTTCGGGCGCGATCCACAGCAGCGTGCCGACGGCTTGCGTCATCGTCGTGTCCGTCGCGTGGTCGCGGGCCGACCCGAGATCGGCGACCTGCACGAACCGCTGCCGGCTCAAAAGAATATTGTCCGACTTCAAGTCCCGGTGCAGGAGCGACTTTGCGTGCAAATGCGTGAGCGCCGACGCGATCGCGTACGCAATTTCAACGGCCGAGTAGATCTCGGGCCGTCGCTCTTCGCGGACGCCATCAAGGTACTCGCGGAGGTTGCCGCCGTCCATATACGGCAGCACCATCATGGACGGGGCGACGCCGTCCGTGACGTAGCCAAGCAACGGCAAGATGAAGGGCGAGGTACACCTAACCCCAAGACGTTAGCATCGACCACGAATAGGACGTTCCTACTTGCTCAAGACGGTGATTTCATCGTGAAGCGACGAGACCGAGGACGCTGAGAGCATGGATTTGATGGCAACATCCAGCTTCTCCTTGTAGCGACCGCGGTCGACGATCCCTTGTCCGCCGGCCCGCAAGCGCTCGGTCACAACAATGTCCGACGCATCCATCTACGTCCTCTCAAGACCACACGCAGAGGAAGATGAGACTACCTCGATCGGCGGCTGGTACGCGCTCTGATACAGCTCATCCGCCATCTCGCTCTGGCCCGTCCGCATCGCCAGCACGAGCGGCGAGTCCAAGTCCTAGCTGTAGAGTCAGCGACCACATTGACTGAGACCAGAGCCATCGCACCTCACTCGTAGCAGCGCACGGGTCTGCGCCATGGGACAAGAGAATGCGAGCGACAGACGTATGGCGGTGGCGCACGGCCTCGTACAGGGCCGTGTGGCCGTGCTACACAGAGCGTTTTGCATGGCTGCAGAGAAGAAGGCGCGTACGCTGTCGGTCGTATGGACGTTGGCACCGTGCGTCGCAAGCAGTTGCACAAGCGCGTCGTGTCCGTCGACCGCCGCCACGAGAAGCAGCGCGCCGCCCTCCTACCATCGGGTTAGGGTAGGGCAGGGGTCCATCGTAAGGTACGCGGTGCGTTGTATTGGGGTCCGCACCCGCCACCAGCAAGGTCTCAACGACGCGATGATCGCCAAGACCAGCGGCCAAGCTCAGTGGCGACGTCCCATCCTACGCGCAAGTCATAAGCACAAAGCACGTTGTCGCGTTACGAGGTAGGTACCGTGCCGAGTTGGTTGACCGGTGCTTTTGCGGCCACCAAGACGTCGACGATGGCCGTCTGGCCCTTCTCAATCGCCAGCAGCAAAAGCGTTCGGCCGGCCTAGCCACACGCTACGTGCAGTCTTGCGATCAGACGACGAGGTTCGATGTACCTTGGTACGCAGATCCACGGGCAGACCGGCCAGCAGATACGATCGCACGGTCGCCGCATCGCCCGTCTTGACCGCCTCGATGAGCTACGCACGCGCGTCACCCCATCGATGCAGAAGCGAGTCCTTACGTGGCCAACGTGCGCCAGAACCAGCGGTGCCAAGATCGCTTGGGCGTCGCTGTTCCGAGGCGCCAGGACCAGCGCCGTCTCCTTGGCCTACACAGCTAACTTGTCAGACGATACTGCCACGTACTCGAGCTCGTGCGTGGTTGATGGCATGCAGCGGAGCGTGCGCGGAGAGCAGAACGCGGACCACGTCGCTGTGGCCACAGCGAGCGGCCACATGAAGCGCGGTGTCCCCCGCCTACGCCACCGGTTGCTCGAACGTTTTTGAAATCACACGTACATCGTTGGTGGCGCACACGTCTGCTTGCGCCTGCAGCAAGCGCTCAACGCACTCTGTCGCGCCGTGCGTGGCTGCGATCAAGAGCGCCGTGTTGCCCTCCTACTTACTACACATTAGCAGCCGCCGACGCGAGCTCAAGATCACCGCATCCGTCAGAAAAATGCTGGCGTAGCGGCGCAGTAGGCTCTCTACGACCGCCGTGTGGCCGTGGGCAGCCGCCAGCATCAACGGCGTCCACAGGTCCTACCCTTGATACATTGAAATCTTGCACTAAAGAGATGCCATAGTGTACACTGGCTTGCACCGGGTCCGTGTCGGCGCCGGCCTCCAAGAGCATCTCGACGATCGGCGCATGGCCATTCGCCGCCGCCCAGTGCAGCGCTGTGGTCGGACTCTAGACCACTGAATCAGAAGAGCTACGACAACCTTGCGTCGCTACGGCGGCGTCGTCGGGGCGCACCCCCGCCTTCAAGAGCTTGGCGGTTGCCTGCATGTCACCGTCTCGCGCGGCGCAGACCAGCTGCGCGTGCAGTTGCTGGCGGTCGGCATCGTCGTTGGCCACTGCAACCATCGCCGCTTCGAGGAGCAAGGCGCCTTGCGTGTTGGCCTTGACGAGTGCGAGCGCCGTCTTGCCCGTCTACAGCGTACGACAGTCGCATCGACGGAGCCTGCGTCACCAACGCATACGTGGTTGTATATATACGTGCTGGCGCGATATGCCAGCAGCACTTCGATGATGCTGTCGTGGCCATACCGCGCCGCCAGGTGCAGTGGCGTGTCGCCTGCCTACGAACGCAATGCGACCAACCATTGACGTCATCCATCAGCGTACGGTGGTCGTCGCGTCCACGTCGGCACCCGCATCGAGAAGGAGACGCACGAGGATCGTGTAACCGTGATACGTGGCGACATGCAGTGGCGTCCGCCCATCCTAAGACAATATGTCCACACTTTGTCGTGCAACGTCGTAGCGTACGCGGTTGGCTTCGTGGACGCTCGCCTTGGCCTCGAGAAGCATGACCACAACGTCCGTGTAGCCGCGCTTGACGGCTACACCGAGCGACGACTGGCCTTTCTAGAACCGACAAGTTGTCCAAGCTCGAAACGAGCCACTGTACCGCGTTGCGGGCATTCACATTGGCCTTGTACTGCAAGAGAGAAGCCACAAGACTTGGGAACGGGTGCCGGGCCGCCCAATGCAGCGGCGTCTCGCCGTCCTGCCACGTCGTACGTATGAGCATAAAGCACGCCCAAAGCAGCGTACGCTCGTGGCCGCGTTCGGGTCGGCGTTGCCTTCGAGCGGTGCGTCCGCGGCGGGGCCAAAGAGCGAGGCGTACTCGACGACACTCCGGCCTTGTAGGAGCGCAGTCGCTGCTGCCACGTGCCCGTACAGTGCTGCGTAGTGCAGCGGTGTGCGCCGCGCCTAGCGTCGTATCGTGTCGCGTACGATGGAGGCAAGAGGCCATACGAGGTTGACGGCGTTGGCATCGGCGCCAGCTTGCAAAAGCAGCTCAATGCAGCGCGTTTGGCCGCGCTCGGCGGCCATGTGCAGTGCGGCGTCGCCCGCCTACGCCGCATCAAGATGAAGCCCGACGCGCAGCACGCACCCAATCGGAGGCATTCGGGTCAGCACCGGCCTGCAGCAAGGTGGCCACAATGGAAACCTGGCCGGCCTTGGCGGCCTCTCGCAGCTGCTTGGCGCTGTCCTAGACAGCGTCATGAGCCCTACTCGGGTCGCGATGGCGCAGCTACCGTCTTGAACAGCCAGCTCATGTCTTCTTCGCACTTGCCAGGGAAGACTCCTTCACTGCGCGACAGACGGGCACCTTCGATGCGCGCAGCAGCATTCGACCGAGTTCGATGCGATAATTCCCTCTTCGTGATACGCTGGTTGTAGACTCTCGCATTACAGAGCTCTAGACCGTGCAACAAAGGAACTTCTCCAGCCTCGTGGCAGCCTCGTGGGTCGTTTTATCCGGATTATTCCGGATAACTAGAAAGTGCAATTTGGGAAATCGCGACAAATAATGATGGGCATGAGCGTACGCACGGACAAATGAAGTTAGAGTTACAGCGTCGACTGGAGTTGGGTCGTCACTATGGGCGTTCCTAGTGTACGCTACAAAGCTGGCGAGCATGGTCATGTCGTTGGTCCCACTGGCTGTGATGCTGACGAGCGTCGGTCGATGCAAAGCTTGAAGCAACGTTGCTGGTTTCTTCCAGATGGCGCAAAGCGACACCTTTAACGCCGTTCATGTGATGTGCAGACGGAAGCTCCGTCGTGTTGACGCCAAGGATACGCTATCTTGTGCGGGCGATCCTTGAAGTTAGGTAAAGTTTCGAGTGTCCTTGCCAGCCAAGAGGCGCTTCTCTTCCTTTTGTTACATCCGCGTGATGATTCGCACTCGTCGCACCAACCACGATGCTCTCGAGAAGACTCGCATCGGACGCAGCACAGGTAGACATTGATAACGGAAACTTAGTTGACAAAATAGTACTTGAGAAAACAGAGTTTGCACACTTGGATGTTGACGCGGTCCGTGCCGGTCGAGAGTGCGCTTTTGAACTGGATGCAGTTCTTACACACGACTTCGCCGCACTAGTAGTCGACCATAGAAGCGCTAAGAACGTAGATGTGGACGTACGATGCGGCAGTGGTGTTTTCGCAAGAGCGTGCTAAACTTGCGCGTGCAGGCGACGCACTGGTGCCGGTGGACGTCGAGGACCCACGAGTCGACGGGCGCGATGCACTCGATCGTGAGCACGGGCTTTTCATGGTTGTGCTCGGGGCAGCCCTTATAATAGTGGTAGAGCGCATCGACGCGGAGGAACTCGCGCTTGTCCATGAGCGCCATCGACGCCGTGTAGCTACGGTATCGCATGAGCAAATGCACTCGGTTGGCGGCGTACGTACGTATACTCGGCCGGCGTCTCGGTCGCGGGCTCTTCGTCGTCGCCGGCCGCGCGTTTCGTGTCGCAGTGGTACTTGTGCTCACAGCGCACGGTGCAGGCAAAGCAGACTGCGACCTTGGCCGCGCCCTTGTTGGGCATCGTAATGGCCCGCACGTCCATGCACGTGGCGCAGACGACTGCGCCGCACTATCGGACCTGTCGTCAGGACCGTGGTAGCGATGAAGCGATACCATTCCGCAATTGTGCTTGCGCTGCCAGTTGGTGTACTCGACCGCGCACACGGTGCAGTGCGTCGCGAGCTCCTTGACGGCAAAGTGGCGCGGCTCGACGAAGCGATGCAGCGTCTCGGTCGTCATAATCCTGTGAAAAGGTAAATGACATCCAGCATGCAATGGAAACGGCTGTAAACGAAGGTCCGACCAGACGCTGCGTTGCCTCAGCTGCCGACAGGCGTGACACACGTCGCGTCAGGCCCGATTCGCGCCCGTGATTGGCTACCGCGCTGGCCACAGCGCGTCGACGCCAACAAAGCGGCCCCGACAGCCCACGCGACCAGCCCCGAGCGAATGCATACGAGACACCCGAGGGCTCCGACATGTGACGCATACACGTGGCAGCGCTTGATGACCCTTGGACTCTTTCTCTTTGCGAACAAAGAGCCTCAAGCTCGCGCTCGGACGATGGGCGTGACCAGCAGGTGGTGCTCACCCGTGATGGGCAACCGGCCTTCTCGCCACCTGTCCACCCATTTCTACGCGCCGGAACGGTAAATGCGTTTTTCGCCGTTTCAAAAATGGGTAAACACGTCGTACGCACGCGAAACGGCTCTCTCGTTTCGAACGGCCGCTATGTTTTTGTGGTTTAAACGCGATGCGCAGATACCACGCGCGAAATAGGCGCCAGTAGCCTGATAGGGCTACTGCGGCTGTCCACACGAGCGTCCATCGGAGAAGCACTGCACCAAACGAGGAAGAAAAATGGCCCATGAATTCTTGAAGCGGAAGCGACGGCTTCAACTTGTGAATGGTTGGCTTCCAAAGCCAGCCCGAGTCACATGTTGTGGGAAAATATGTTCAAGAAAAATAGAAACTCCAAACGGGTGGTGATGATTCGGGTCAAATGGCGCTCCTACCAGCTTCAACCCATAGGGACTTAGTTGCTGACGATCGCTTGGTAGAGCTGCTGGCGCTGGCGAAAGAGAGCTTCGTCCAGGGTTGCGAGTGGCTTGACGCACGCCATGAGGCAGTTGAGAACCACGAGGCCAACGCAGGCGAGCGGGAGGAACCCGATGCCGCAGCTGACGCCGACAATGATGACGACGAAGAGACCGATCGAGAAGGACATGCTCACGAGGCTCAGGAGCACGAGCAAAAGCATGTTGCCGAGCTTGGTGCAGTAGCGCGCAAAGGTGTCTTGGCGGCGGCGACGGTTGTCGGGCACCTCGACCATCAACGGCGCTTGGACCGACGACGGCAGGTCGTCGTACACCGGGGCATACATGGGCGCGCTCGGTGCGTAAAAGTACGTTGGCTGCTGCGTTTGGGCGACGACGCCCGTCGTGGAGAAGAACTCGCTCGTGAAAAACTTGGTCGTGCCCCGGAGGATCGCGCCAAAGCCGTGGAGGCAGAGCACGCTAAAGTAGAGAAAACCGACGCCGAAGAGCGCGATCTGCACCTTGTGCGCCTCGTCCACCGGAATGCCAGCGACGCTCGCGTGCAGCGTGTGGACGCGGTGGTGGTGCGTGTACGTCAACGTCATTGGCTGGTTGTTGGCGTACGAGTCGTCCCAGTAGAGCGGAAAGGCCATGCACGCGATCGACGTCGCTAGCAAAATCAGCGGCGTCAAGCTAAACATGAGCGCGAGCGGGAGCTTGATGGCGACAAAGTAGAAGACGGCGAGGATCGACTCGGCCGAGAGCGTCGAGAGCGACGGCGAGAGGCGGTACCCGCTGCGGTGGTAGAGTCCGCGGCGCGGCACCTGAAAGTTGACTGTGATCTGGTCTTTTGTTGGCGCCACGCAGTTGTAGAGGTACACGTCGCACTCGGCAAAGACGCGGACGAGATGCAGGAGGAACTGCAGCACGAGCAAGCCGAGGCAGCAGAGCGGAATGAGGCCGACGCCGAGCGACCCGACCGAAATGACGAGCACAAAGGCCAGCAGCGCCAAGACGTGGTTGAAGAGGTGGAAGAAGACGAGCTGGAACGTCAAGAGGCGCAGTGGACTGGTGAGCGCATACCAAAAGACATTGTCATTGTCCTCGTGGTCGCACGGCGGCGGTGGCACGGCATAGTACTGCGGCGGCGCAGCTTGGTACCCGCCATACATGGGCACGGTGGCCGGCGTCGGTGCGGGTGCGGCTACCGGCACCGCCATCACGGGCGTCTTCTCGGTTGGTGAGAGTGCAGGATACATTGTTCGAGGAGGTCGACAAAATAAGAATGAGTCGAAGGGCAATCTGGCAGTGGTCACCTGCACTCGGCTCGGAATGTGGGTTTGGGAATGTCGGTTCCAGAGTGTAGGTGGCTTTGAAGCACTGGCAGGTTCGTGAGTGGGACAGTGGTAGTAGCGCTGCGTCGAGTCGTGAACCGATAAG